TAGATGTTTGGCAGAACGATAAAGAGTCAAAAGCGCGTTGTAATTTGTGTAAATCTGCCTCGCTCAATAAATACGATACAACGAGATTAAGATGTCTAAATGCTTCTTTGCTTTCCTATAATTCTAAGCTGTTATGGGAATGTAGTTTTGTACTGCTTTCTTCCTCAGATTCGAAAGTTGAAGAGAAATCTCAACAAAAACTCAATTCGTGCATTCACCAAAGAAGCGGGACAGCGACAGTACTGAGTACATAGAAACACAGTGCGGATCTTTTTCTACGCGTAGTCACATGCTTGATCGAAAGAAGGAAATCCCGAGTTTGTGCCTCCAATTAGGTGATTTGTAGCAAATCATCATTATCTCAATAATTGATTGAATGCGATGCGATGGTGATGTGTCAAGCATTCATGTAACCTGACCAAGTATGCTGCCACCCTGCAGCTCTTTGAACCAAGAAAACTTGTTTTCATTCTCTACTTGCGTCAAGGAAACAGCAAACGAAGAAAGAGTCATCTTTTGGTGCAACTTAAGCTTGTGCAGCCAGCTTAATCCGTGTCAAGATTGAGTAACGATTGCCAGCCTTTCTATACACGGCAGTAAGTTGACAACCTCTACAGCTCCAAGGTAAATAAGCACCGCCCATTGAGATTGCTATTCACACTGCAGGGGCGGCTAAGATGACCTTTACTGAAATATGGCGTATTGTTTTATAAGATCGAATCATCAGAAGCATTGCAACTCCGTTTGATCGTGAACATGCCACCCAAACTCCCATGTAGTCATTTGGCTTTTGTCAATATATCAATAGGAAACAGTCTACCAAAGGGTGCTTCAATTGGCTGTATGAGAAACCACCATTATCTGTTCGAGAATCACGATGCAAGATTGTTTGAATTCAATTCAACAACCGAGAATTGCAATAGTGCGAGACGGTATGCCGCAACTGAAAGGAGCGTCAGAGCCGCCACACAGAAGAGCAGTCGTTGCATTGGTCCCTCCATGTATTGCCACTACCCCGGACTACGGGGTATAGAGTTGACCGATGAGAATGCCATGCACATCTGTGGCTTTCTTGGCTGGCCGCTATGGCGAATCAAAGGAGCTTACGGATGTTGGATGAATCATAGGCATACCATCAACAAAGAAGTCAATTTATTGACAATAAACTTCAATTATTAGCCTCATGACTCTTTCAACTCATAAAGTAATTCAGTAGGTTGACGATGATGCAATTCTTCTCGACTTCTCTGCCGAGCAGGCATGTGTCGCTGCTTCCTTCCTGAGATTTAAGTTGCCTTTTTGAAACCTTTAGGCACACTTGACTGCCGCCAATTCCATCGATCATCCAAGGGAAGTATAACCTGAGGTGTCAAAGTTAATACCATCAATCCAAACAAAACCAAAGTCAAAGGCAAGCTCATCATGGAGGAGCATAAAAACGAGGTTGATATACACAACGCATCAGATTCGCATTCCAAAACCAACACACCAGAGGAATCTGCACCAGGAAACATACCTCTGCAGAAAGAACTAACTTCGAGCCCCAACGAACTCGATGGCGAAGAGGCAGTCTACCCCCATGGCTTGAAGTTGGTCGTCATTCTCACCGCGCTCTGTCTCGCAGTCTTCCTAGTAGCTCTAGATCAGACCATTATCGCAACTGCAATCCCGAAAATAACAGACCAGTTTAATAGCATACAAGATATTGGGTGGTATGGCAGTGCATATCTGTTGACAACCACGGCTCTACAGCCGACTTTTGGTAGGATATATACTATATTCAGTGTAAGCAAAATGGCATATACTTCTCATTGAACGGCGCGATGCTCATGAAATAATATAGATCAAAATTACCTTCGTTGTGGCTATTGTCATCTTCGAAATCGGGTAATGTCATGACTTAACTATGTAAATGCGCATATGAATTAATGAATAAAATAGTTCCTTGGTTTGCGCCACTGCGCCGAATAGTACTGCATTGATTATAGGCAGAGCTGTAGCTGGTATAGGTGTCGGTGGTTTGTTCTCGGGAGCCATTGTTATTTTGGCATATTGCTGTAAGTGCAAGGTTTTTTGGGCTCAGTGGCCATATGGAATGAATGACTTCAACCGACTTCGTTCACGTTTAGTACATTGGCCTTTTTATAAAATAAAAAAAGCTGACTTAATAAAAAGTACCCCTGCGAAAACGACCAGCTGCTTTTGGTCTGATGTAAGTGAAAACGCTTTTGTGGGAAAGAACTTGTAACAATTTAAATGGTTTTGGTATGATTACTGACAGGATGCAAATTCAGTGGAGGAATGTGGGGGATTGCTTCGGTCGCCGGACCATTACTTGGAGGTGTCTTTGTAAGTTCAGTTTGACACTTCACGAGAGCAGATACTGATCAAAATAGACCGACAAAGTATCTTGGCGTTGGTGCTTTTACATCAATCTACCTATCGGTGCCATCGCTATTGCTGTAATAGTGGTCTATCTCAAAATCCACCGCGCCAACAATCCTGAGAATCTCACTATCCTTGCTCGTGTCATGAAGCTCGATCTCATCGGCACTATCATTATCATCCCAGCCGTCATCTGTCTTCTGCTCGCTCTTCAATGGGGCGGTACGACATACCCATGGAGTTCCGCTAAGATCATCGGTCTTCTCGTTGGCTCCATATTGCTATTCATCCTGTTCATCATCTCCCAAATTATTCTTGGCGACAAAGGTATTTTGCCTCCTCGCTTCTTCAAAAACCGTAATACACTACTCGCATATGTCTTCGCGTTTCTCTTCGGTGCAGGATTTTTTGCTTTAATCTTCTACCTGGCGATCTATTTTCAATCCGTCAAGGGTTCTTCTGCTACTAGGGCCGGCATCGAACTCCTTCCCCTCTTGATATCCACCGTTATGTCTTCCATAGTGACTGGAGGCCTTATCACTGTAATCGGGTATTACACTCCCGTGATGATTTTCTGTATGGTACTGTTCGCTATTGGTTCTGGTCTCATCACTACCTTCTCTCTTACCACACCGTTTGCCTCGTGGTTCGGCTTCCAAATCATAGCCGGTATTGGGGTTGGCGTTGGGTTTCAGGGCGGTGTCCTAGTGGTCCAGACCGTTGTCCCACTTGTAGATGTTCCAGTCGGGACAGCCTGCGTATCGTTTTTCCAATCCCTGGGCGGTGCCCTCTTTATATCCGTGTGTCAAACCCTCTTTCAAAATGGTCTCAAATCCGGAATAGAAAAGTATGCTCCACAACTTGATCCTCAATTATTCTTGCACAGCGGAGCAACGGAAATTCAGCAATTGCTAGCACAATTAAATCAAGAAGAAGCGATAGGTGCTGTGCGACAAGCTTATGTGGAAGGCCTCACGCGTTGTTACTGGGTGACTACTGCATGTGCGATTGGCAGCTTTCTGGCGGCATGTGGACTGGATTGGAAGAGTGTGAAAAAAGGACATGGACAAGAAAAAGAGATAGAAAGGAGGAAGGAAGAGAAGAACAAAATTGCAAACGGTGGAGAGAAGGCGCTGTAAGCTATGGATAAGCTGCGTGCACTTGACAGTTCAGACCTTGCCACACACTCGTAAATATTGTATTACTAGTAGAGCATCCACTCAATCTATCACTGAACTTAGAGCACTTCTAATATAGCGCCATCAGTCAGGTTCTTAGAACCATTTGACATCCAGACTCAAGTTGATCATTCAAAAGCATTACAAAACGTTAAGCCGCAGGGGGCTATTCTATATCAAAGTGAAGTCAGACATTGATGTGCACTCTCGAATATTGAGCCAGGGATATCCAACCCACTTCATAATACTAAAAAATCATGTATACACCCGAATGCGAGGATATATTAAAGATCATCCCATGTTGTAGGAAAAACACAATTAAAATGAGCAAACCGAAACTCTATCAAATTTCCAGAACTCAATGCTCGTTTGTGCACACACCACCCCAATTTTTCAGCATGATGCTCAAGCCCCTCCTATTGGCGCGATAATCCTCTCCCGTTCCCCGCAAAATCCAAACCATTTCACCGGCGTTTTTCTCCAGCTTCTCATGTCCCTGGTCTAGGATCACCCCAGACTATGGATGTTTGGATTTCCCCACAAACTCTGCCTGTGTGTTGTTTAATTAGATCTCATCTCACGCTGTGAAATAGATCATCACGAAATTCAACACCAGAAGCAGAGATAAATCAAAATCCCACATTTTGGTCCAGGTCCTACTTAATCAATTAAGGTTTGTAGTGACACCGCGCATGGCACCTAATCCAAGACATTAATGCCCATCTAAGCTTCCCATCTCCATCTGCCATTCCGGTACCTGAGTGGAAAATCGTTCGTCCGAATCCTTATCCTACTTGGCATTCCATGAACCATGCACCTTGGCTAAAGCTAGCAGCAAACAAGCTCTTACATGCAAGTTTCCAGACAAGGGTATTTACCTATCTACAGGCAAAAAGAGAGACCCAAGACTTCCAATCTCAAATGATACCACCGGTAATGGCGGAGACGCGTATATGTGCAAGCCGGTGAGAGGGGAAACAATGAAGCTAGACCTGGGTCATGAATTATTCCGAAGTATCGGCAAGCTGTAGTCCACCCATGGATGAAGTTCTGCATCAAAGCTTGGATTCGTATTTAAACCATAAAGTACCCTTCTCGGCCTTTTTCCATTCGCTCCTTTTTTGCTCAAGTCCGAATATCTTTTCTGTTTACCATTGACTATCAAAAGAAGTCTTTACAATGGTTCGCCCGTTATTATTTCTTGCCTCTCTGCTTCCAATTGTCACAGCAAGCTGGGACATCAATAGCGAGGCGCATCGGCATGCTTGTCAAAAACACACGGAAATTCCATTGGAAGGTTGTGATTTGCAAAAGACGAAATATGTAGATTTCGTGGGAAACAATTCGAATTTCAAGACAGTACAGTCTGGTATGTAGTCAGATTCCTCATAGGATACGGAGTGAGAAGTGATAGGGTCGAATTGAGGCTAATTATGAATGATTGTAGCTGTGGCAAGTTTGCCAAATAACACCGATACATATGTTATCCTTATTGCATCCGGAAACTATACAGAGCAGGTGAGAATTTTGCTTAATTTATTTCTCGGGTCCAACTTCTTCACATGCTAACATCGCATTATAGGTCAACGTCACTCGTCGTGGTCCAACATATTTGCTCGGCCAAACCGCAAATCCTCAAAATCAATCTGCGAACACCGTCAATATCATCTGGAAGGCGATTGCTGGTACTGGGGATAATGCTTACACATCCACTTTGACCGTTGCACCGAATCTCAATGCATCATTGACTGGAAGTGGAACGACTGGGTTTGCTGTCCCACCAGGAACACCGTTTGGATGCACAGATTTTAGAACATACAATCTGAATTTCATCAATGATTTTGTGCCATACTGTGAGTTGCTACCTTTCGCAGGGAAGAAAAAAGACAGGGTTAAAAACACGATTGGGAGGAAGAGAGGAGCCAGAAAGAAAACGTTCTAACAGAGTGATAGCTGATGGACCTTCCCTTGCATTGAGCATAAGTTACGCAAACGGTGGCTTCTACTACACCGGCTTCTATAGCTACCAAGATACCGTATGTTCATCCACTTGCTCATTATACTATCCGTTGCTCCAAACTAACACATCCAAGGTTTACGTAGGAAAACTATCCAACTCCTACATGTCTCAATCTGTTGTCGCCGGTCAGACCGATTTCTTCTACGGCTTCGGAACTCTTTGGGTCACTAACACACAAATCTTCCTTCGATCATGGTATGTAAATCTAAATCCGCCTTTGAAACAAGAAGCTGACCTCTTTCAGTGGTGGAGGAATTACTGCATGGAAGGGAACCAACACGACTTTCGAGAACAAATATGGAGTATATATTGTAGATTCAACTGTGCAGAAAGCAAATAGCAGCTTAAGCATCAAAGGAAAATGCCCACTTGGCAGACCTTGGGTACGTTTTCTCCACAATCTATATCCTCTACCAAAAGCAAGCTAACCATCATTCAACAGAACGCACAAATGCGATCCATCTTCGCCCGCACCTACCTCGATGATTCGATTCTCCCCGCAGGTTATATCGATTGGTCTCCTGCCCGCTACGATGCCAATAATGGTAACTACAGCACCGTCCAAGCTGAATACAAGAATTACGGACCTGGATACAACGCAACCGCAAGAGCTCTTTCGTTATTTGATGTCCAATATAATGACAGCCAGTGGGCTCCTTACAGTAGTCCAGCGAAGGTTTTCCAGGATCCTGAAGGAAAATTTGGGGATGTGAGCTGGGTGGATTTCAACGTTTAGTTTAATTGGCGAGGAGAGGGATCGAGTTACTTGATACATAAATTATATATAAATTTTAAACAAAGAATAGATGATTTAATAAAAGCTGTTTCTATAAAGTATGGACGTGTATTTGTGATCCAACTGTTGGTTGCCCTTGCTCACCCCTATTCAGCACCGCTGAATGGCATAACTACCGGAAAAACATCAGAATCTCGATTGAGATCCAAAATCAATCGGATTCGGAAGTTTCGAGATAATTAAAGAGAACTGAAGATTTAGAAGTATTTAGTTGTCGACTTACAGCTAAGATAACTTATAGATAATTTATTCTTGTAGTATGACGCCTATGACTAAGCAGTGCCTTCCCCATATCATCAGGAAACCTGAGCTAAGATACCACTAGCGCTACAAAAGCACTTTACGCGACCGTCGATAATCAAATCGCGTTTCCTCGAACAAACAAAGTTACTAAATAATAAGTTTCAGTCTCAATTCACCATTGTTCAACAATTTGCCGATAACAACAACAAAAATCTCAAAATGGCTTCTCACAATGATGTTGCAGATGAAACCCCCCCTCAAATCAATCCATACGAAGTTCTTGGTATTGAGAAAACTGCCTCTGAAGATGAGATCAAACGCGCATATCGCAAAAGCGCTTTGAAACACCATCCAGGTATGTTATAACGGTTATTGGCACGTCTCTATATTGCAAATGCATAGCTCATATGAGCTTCTCTACTTGGGACTGCCATCATCAAGATAGTTCCATAGGCCCACTGCATGAACTGAATTTAGACAACTAACAACCTCCCAGATAAAGCTCCAGAACATCTCAAATCTGATTCGCACACCAAATTCCAAGAAATAGCTTTTGCATATGCTATTCTCTCCAACCCAAACCGTCGCAAACGCTATGATCGTACTGGATCTACCTCCGAGTCCGTTGATGCTGATGGATTTTCCTGGACCGAGTTTTATTCTGAGCAATACAAAGACGTTGTTACTTCTGATGCCATCAATCAATTCGCCAATGTTTACAAAGGTTCCGATGAGGAGAAAGATGATTTGCTGGCTGCTTATACCAAATACGAAGGAAAATGGGGAAAGATGTATCAAGTCATTATGCTAAGTGATCCAGTTGAGGATGAAGAACGATTCCGCGAGATCATCGAGGAAGCAATCAAAACCGGAGAAGTTGAGGAATATGCTGTCTTTAGGAAGGAAACTAAGGCTTCGAAGGATAAAAGAATGAAGAAGGCTAGAGCTGAGGAGAAAGAAGCCGCGAAGGCTGCGAAACAAATGGGTGTTGATAAATTGTTGAAGGGATCTAGTGGGGATGTACCGGAACAAAGTAAGAAGCCAAAGAAAAATGCCCCTGGTCACATGGATGACTTGGCGGCTATCATTCAGGCTAGACAGGCTTCAAGGGGTGGCTTTTTTGATAATTTAGAGGCAAAATATGGCGGAAGCAAGTCGGCAAAGGGCCCTGGTGAGCTGAGTGAAGAGGAGTTTCAAAGAATTCGAAAGGGTTTAGGCAAGAGTAAAGATAAAGCCAAGGGCAAGGGGAAGAGAAGAGCAGCTGACTCCGAGGATGAAGTTGAGGAAGATGAAAAACCGGCACCGAAGAAGAAGTCATCAAGAGGCAAGAAGAGAGAACCCGAGGTAGAGCAAGAAGATGAAGATGAAGATGAAGATGTAGAAATGAACGACGTTGGTGATGATTTTCAAGCTGAGGAAGCCGAGGAAGACGAGGAAGAGGTCGAGCCTGAGCCTAAGAAATCAGCTTCTAAGAGAACAAAGAAGCAACCAACTCGGCAATCCAAGCGCGGTAAAACTACTCGGGCATGATTTTGTGAATATGGAAATGGAGTTTGCGAGGATTTGGTTTTTACATATATGGTCGGATGGATACAACATGCATAGAAGAAGGCGTTGATAACTACAATGATTTTTTAATGCGAAGATTTACCCATTTACTTTTAACAAGAATACAAACCCATGAATGCCTATGCATTAAATTCCGGCATTTTACACATCTTCTATTCCATTATAAAATTGACGTCCGATTGTGTGAGCATCCTGCTCCTGCTCTACTAATTGCTTGTTACAATTTCTGATACTCCAATGACGTTCTACCTGTTTGAGAATATCTCGCACATCTCAAGTGCTCAAATCCACCTAGTCTTGTAGGTATCTCAGTTCTAAAATTACAGACTTAAACCCCGTCTTTAAACCTAGACTTCTTCCCACGAATAACACTGTCCAACATGTACACGTGACACAGCCTCCCCACGCGTCAACCTCGCGATTTCCATCTCCACTTTCGCCTCTCACCTCGGTCGGTGCATCCACCCAAACACCCAAACATTTCACGCACACGAGACTCGCTCCCGAGCACTACAACAAAATACAACAAAATAGAAAACAACCCGTCGATCAACCTTCCCACTCGTCACTACTCAAGCTAAACCCGAGATATCAATCGCATACATCAATTTCCTCATTTTCGCATCGCACCATGCTCCAAAAGAAAATGTCATGACAGCCCCCTCCTCATCCACATCTGCTCTCGCGCCCCTCTTACCGCCATATCTGTATGAGCTCTCGCCTACCATTCATAAATGGTGTGCGTTGCGCTGTGCGGATATCGTTTCTTTGACTACGAGGGGGGTTTATTTTGAAGGTTTGTTTGTTTTCTTTCTTTGTTTATCTGATTGCTACTTTCTTTCTTCTTCTTAGCTATGTTGTCACTTCCTGCTCCTTGAGTTTCGAGTACGGATTGAGGGTCCTCGAGATGATGATTGATCCATAGAACAGCGTCATGCTAGGAATGGATAAAAGATAAATAGAATAACCAGCTAATTTTCTCACAAAACCAAAAGATAAACTAATCCACCACTACCTCAACCACCCCATCCGCTACATAAAACTGATCGGGCTCATCGTCTCCATCGATACCTTTGCCCGTCGTCGCGTCTACACCATCGATGACTCAAGCGGTGTATGTATAGAATGCGTTGCACTCCTACCTCTCCCTCCCTCGGGAGCTCCTTCAAATTCCCATCCTCCTCCCAGCACCCGTCCATCACCACCCCCAAATTCCCTGGAACGACATCTCCGAATGCAAAGTCGTGCGGATTCTGGGGATCATAGGGTCTTATATGCAAGTGCCGCAATTGCAGATTGTGAAGATGGGGATAGTGGGGAGTACGGATGTGGAGAGGAAATGGTGGGATGAGTGTCGAGAACTTAAAGATCCGGAGAGGGGGATACTGGGAAGAGAGTGGGTGGTAGGAAGGGAGGAGATGGAGAGGTGGAGGAGGAGGGAGAGGAGGAGGAAGGCGAGGGAGGAGGAGAAGAGGGGTGGGAGGAGAGATGGGCGAGCGGTGAAGATGAAGAGTGGGAGTGGGAGAAGAGAGGATACCGAGAAAGTCGAAGAAAAGCGCGAGCTGGCGAGGAAGAAATTAGCAAATTCCCAACCATTCAACTCCAACCCCACCCCTTCCCGCCCTCCCCACGAAACCTCCCCCAACAAACCTCTCCTCCGCCCGCCCATCAAAAAGAGATTCATTCCCACTATCCTCCCCGACCTATCCAACTACGATACGTTTGGCTACTAATCCACACCCCTTCACCCGTTGAGGGAAACCCTTCCAAGAAATTGAAACTTGCAAAAGAAATCTCAAACCACGCATCCCGGTAAATAATCAAACGTGATTTGTTCACTCGATTGGATTGATTATCTTGTATATCCATATCCATATCCATGGATACGAGATGTGATGTGAAATGGTGGATATAGAATCCGAGACAAGAAACACGAGAAATAAGATATGAGATGCGACATAGCCTTCCTTCATCGAAGGGGCATTACCGAAAAAAAATCCGATTAGAGATGAAGATGGAGGAGTCTGTCAGAGTGAGGGAAGATGGATACGATGATATTGAAGAAAGAACATGACGACATGAAAGATACAATTAATACACGATTACTTCGGTGAAGATTCTGGATTTCTCTAGGGAGAAGAAAGAAGAAAGAGGTGGCAAGGGGACACACGAGACATGTACTTACTTATTGTACAAAATTGCATACTCTCTAATGGCGAATGGATTGTATATTTCGAGCCACAGATTTACATACATACACACAAATGTCTCTTCCCCCAAAACTTCATTGAGCTCAACGTATTGTATTACTCGCAAGGTATCTATCATACACAGAGGTAATGGCTTCGCAGCTCCGAGCTATTGTTACAATTCATCCATTGCCCATCCCAGCAACCCTATCATAATAGCCTCCCCAAAGTCCCATTTATTTTTTTCAGTAAAACAAGGCATTATTAAAACGTGCCGCCTTCTCCATCTCTCCACCCTATGGATTCTCGATATCTACCTTTCATATCCAGCGCTAAAACGCTATTACCATAAATTGATACAATCTCGGATTAATATCCTGCCAGAGCCTTTACTGATCTGACAACAGTTCCTCCAATTTCGCCTGCTCCAGCAGATTCATCTGGGTATACCAAAAATGCAAGGGCAATAATGATATAAAGACCAAGAAGCTATGTGATTGTTAGTGAAATTGAAATGTGATTGCGATTCCGACCAAAACTTACCATACAACCTTCCAAATAATTACTCTTGCCATCTTGAACAACATAAGTAACAACCAAAACACTCAAGAAGAAAACAACAGTTTCAAAGGTCTCAAAATGTAAAGTCATAGGTTTATCCATGATCCAACCCAAGATCACAAGGAATGGAGTGACGAAAAGTGCGATTTGCATGCTCGATCCGATAGCCACACCCATTGCCAGGTCCATCTTGTCCTTGACGGCAACCACAATAGCTGTTACATGCTCTGCTGCATTGCCGACAATTGGAAGAAGAATAAGACCAACGAAGGTTTTGGAGATGTGAGCTTTCTCAACAATCGAGTCAATCGAGTCAACCAAGTAGTCAGCACAGACAGATACCGCGATCGTTACAATAACGAGAACAGCAGCAGCAGCCCAAGGACTCATTTGTGGTACTTCTTCCTCCTCTCCTGCTGATTGACTTTCGGCATCAAATAGGTTGGAATGTGTTCGAAGCTGGAAGAACAAATAAAGACAGTAGAGAATTAATAGAATGATGGCTGTTCCGTGAGAGAGAATCAAAATGTTGGTTTCAGTGTCTGCTGATGATTTACTGAGAACAGAATAGAGCTTTCTAAGAGTTAGATTTTGTTGCAGTTCTATTGGATTTCAGCTTACAGTTGCAGGTATGATCAATGCGCATGCGGCAAGAACCATGAGAGATGACATTGTTCCGGCGACAGTGTCGTTGAATCTCTGCTCGATGCCCATAGATGTACCAGTGCGAGTATTGTGAATTCCACCGGCTATAAAGCAGCATCCCAACACAAGAAGGGAGTTCGACAAGATACTACCCAACATACTCGATTGAACGATTCGGATTTGTCCTTCTTTCAATGCTATGATACTGACCTGCAGGATTCGATATTAGTAAGTAAAAAGTAAGATATAACACCTGAACCTACAATGAGTTCCACAGCGTTGCCGAATGTTGCGTTCAATAGACCTCCCAAAGTTTCTCCCAACTTCATGGAAATTTCTTCCGTCGCAAATGAGAGGATGGAAGCCAATGGGATGATAGCGAAGAAGTTGAGTGTGAAGATGACGACCGGATCCCAGTGTGTGAGGCCTGCGACGATACCCAATGGTACAAAGATCAACAGAACGTTAACATAGCTACTATACAAAGTAACCTTTCCTACATGCCATGCCGACGCCGAGTAGCTAACCATGACATTGTCGCTGTCGGTTCCTGGGGTGTGTCTCTTGCTGAGAAAGAATTCATGAACACTACTTTTACGTCTGTCTCCGGCATGTCCGTTGACGCCCAACAGACGCGAGGTTTCGTCCACTCCGTTTGACATATTTCCTGAGTTGATTCGATTGTTTTGTGATGGAAGGGATCTTACACGCGCGAGTTCCCTTCGGTATTTAGGTTGTGCTACATGTTAAAGAAGATATAAAGTTAGCCCAGCCACTCCGTATGTATGTTCGATATTGAAATTGCAATGCGCCGCAGCCAACTTAAGTTTCAAAGAAGTCCCTTGGCAATACGCTGGCAGATTGACAGGTGGGCCAAATGTACAACCAAATTAAGGAAAAAGGATTTAGGTATCGACAAGAGGCAAAGGAGTATTACTTGGCTTCAAGCGTTTAAGTCTTTTGATCTGAGCAATTGTCCTGTGACGGAGATGACACCAAGGTTATGTTGGGCTGTGTGATACCATTCAAGTATAGAGCGCGAACGAGAAATGTAACAAAGGGCTTGGATCAAAGACCCGACTGCAGGTGCCTGTATCAACTTCTTACTTGTAATATGAGATTGGCGAGTAGATAAACCATCGAACTCTCAAAGAGGAAATAATATTGTAAATTGAATTTTTCGGAGATGAATATCTTCACAAAGAGAGCAAAGGAGGAGGGAGGATAATTTGTTTACTTACAAACCATCTTGGCAAAATTCTCTTTTCGCACACAACAGGAGAATGTCAATGCCTATGTGAAAAGAAAAATTTAGAAATTTTTAGGGAACAGGTTGTACGAAAAGGGTAATTGGATAAATGGGAAGAACAATAATGGGTTGGGTTGGGATCATGAACGTTGGTTGTGCGCGTGGTTATCGAAACTCGGGCACACTTTTCGTAGCTTTGACGGTGCGGGCAGCGGGAAGAAAAGGTTCCCAGTGCTTTTTGCTAGGTGCTGCGCCTCCTTTTGAGTGGAGGAGGTTTGATCAAACTTCTGGGTACAGGCGAGACTGGTGGCAGCTACCGAGATGATAGTCCCTTGTTTATGACGATGATGAGGAGGATGATGCACGTTGTAACTTGTTGTTGATCAAATGGACGGGGATAGTGTGATGAAAGTATGGAGTAAATACGTTTCAAGAGAATTATCGGATGTTTGCTCTTGATGATACGATGAAACCGAAGAACCCCGTCACGATCAAGTCGAGGAAGGTCGAGTGGAGAGAGAGAGAGAGAGAGAGAAAGAGAGAAAGAGAGAAGGAAGGAAAGAAGGAAAGGCACGATATAATCAATCAATGTACGAGAGAACAGAAGAGAGAGATGAGACCAAATTGAACAACCAACGATCATTGAAAAGGATGAATCCTCTTACCTAGGTAGTTTGAGTTTCTAAGAAGCAAGTCAAGACCAAGTAAGTACCTGTATGAAGTGAATCTGGATTCGATGATATGTGTGGATACCGGTATGTGGAATGTATGTATGCACGAGGTAGGTCGGTGGTATGTACGAGGTAGGTATGAGTTTTGAGATGTTGATTTTGTGGAAGGAACGAAGATGCAAATGCAAATGCAAATGCAAATGCGAATGCGAAAACGGGGAATGGAGCTTCAGCTTATTGTCGTGAAAGCATCTGTAGTACTGTACTGACTGCCTTTTGTTCAAACTTTATCTTGCCAAGGAAAGAGCTCCTGCTGATGATTATTGGACTTTTTCCTTGATCCTCATTCAGTTGCACGAAGAATGCGGACTAGATCGATTGTTGACGTTGATGGTTGATATTTGTGAGAGTGTTTTTGTGTTTGGACCTTGTACGATTCACGAATCATAATCTGTCCAAGGAGGTCGGCAGGTTGATATCAAAGTCCTAGCTGCTGCACTAAATAGATATTCGCATAAGTAATTCTATCTATCACTACCTAGGGATCCAATCAATTCGTCTCCATGATGCTTCATCCATCCATCGCATCTGCATACCAAGAATCGGATTATCCCAACAGTCAAATACCGACAACGAATGGCATCCCATCCCATAGGTACAGTACCAACAGAAACAAGGTAGAAGCTATGACCAACCGCCATCACAATCTGACAGTGACTATCAATCAATCGAGGCAATTCTACAAGCATCATCAACATCATCAACATCATCATCATCTCGCGTACCTCACTTCATTTGAGAGACCGACCTAGCAGAACAGGGCTCCAGTTCCTATTCGAGATGATGGGTGGGTGGGGTGGTGTTTAATTATCGATGGAATTGGGAATATCCTCCGGGGGATATACATCATACATCAGCCAGACGAGAGAACTAATAAGGTACAGAATAGGTATTTAACATCTACCTATAATGAATGATGATGATGTAGATAACGATAAAGCTTCGATGTTTAGATACCTAGGTAATTGAGTGTAACACAGCGTAACATTACCATTCCACCAAAAAATGCACAGCCCCCTTACAAAATATCCGATCATCTATCCCTCCCAAATCAAGCACATCGATTCGTCAATTGATGAATAGTGGCTTGATGCACACCTACTTTCGGTGACCAGCTGGCATCTATCTGCGATTGTCATTTTCACCCGCGTGTGCGTATTTATCCTAAGCTTTCCTCGCGTTCCTCGCTTTCCGAGAGTGATACCAACACCCATCTACCTACATGCCTAGGTACTTCCTTCATCGCAAGGTCCGAAGTCACAAAGATAATCCGTGAGGCATTTAATTCACTCGTTCACAAGAGATGCACATCCAAATGTGGATAAACCCACCACACCGGACTCCCGCAAATTGTCCATCTCGCGCAGTTTCCACCCACACACATTGGCATGTTTCGCCAATTCTCATCGCCCCCTTTTCGCTATGCCACTTCATCTCGTGGCACATGACCGCTTTCCCATCCGTGGATAAGTAGACGTACTGAAGTATTCACTTCTAGATCTTCTACACATTCTACATGTTTGTATCTATCTCACCCCCATACAACCCATCCCTGTCATTTTTGACCCGCCTAGTGATTAATTTACTAGGTAAATACTCTGTCTGTACTCTGTATATATCCAACATACATCCGCAACACGTCCATCGATTCACAAACCCTTCCTACTCCTACTCCTCCACCAAACCTCTCCCCCCAAAATACCTCAAAATCTAGTCCTTCCTTTCCCTTCTACACTTTTCTACCATCCCCATCCCAACAAACCCATCACTCCCCCAAAAATCAAGGTTTCACCGTCTCCTCCACTGTCCAATAAAATTCATTACCAAGCCCGCCCTGATATCATCCATTGGAACTGGGCTTACCTTACATTACCCTACTGTATATTACTGTACACGTGCATTGCCGCGTGTATAGACGTTTCACCATAGAATGTTGGGATGTGTTGTGAGTGAGAGGTTTCTACCCAGATATAAACAGACAGTCCGGTTATACCTAGATAGGCTTTGAGAACAATAAGATAGATGGAATTAGCGAGATACAGTGCGTGCAGGTATCAAAGATGTCGAGATTTATTTCATTTTACCTAGACACTCATTACTTCACTTCCAATAACCCGAGTAACAAGATGAAACAAATAAATGAACCTATTACAATTTTCATTCAGCTAGGATTGTTGAAAGACGTCCATCTATAGTAGTGGTATTTCCCTCCTAAACGCCCACGCTACGCCCCGTTGACAAACTATCCCATCCCAACCCATCCGTTTCAACTCTTCGCCTATTTTATGCTGCCTCGGTCAAGATACCCAACCCAATTAACTTTTCCTTCCTCTTCCTCTTCCTCTTCCTCTAAGCCCTTTTTCTTTCCTCGTCGCCACTGCTATACGCTGCATCTTCCTCTTCCCTATTCACTTCACTCTGTCTCCGTCGCAGTTGTCCCCTCTCCTTCATCGCACCGCGAATCTTCTGACTAACCTCATCAAAGCTTGCTTTACCATCCAATGCACTAAAGCTTTTCAATGGAAATCCCGCTGACCCTACAGCACCACCGCTACTGCTACTACGACTTCTACTCCTGGATGGTGGTCGAGTTGCAAATAGTGCAATGTTACCTAGATTTCCAAATGACTCGTTACGTGGAAGATGGCCATTCATACTAGAGCCACCACCAATAGATGCACCTGCAGTATTGCTCCTGTGAAGAACACGTGGCGGCGATCCATCCGAGATGCCCGATTGATTGCTACCGCGACGTAGATCGTTTTGACGAGGTGAAGTGGGAGTCTTAGCCCCATCACGATTAAAGGGATCGGCTACTATTCTGGAAGCATCAAAATCAGGGAACATCTCAGGGCCAAGTGTATTGATAACATCTGTAACCTGTGCGCTGAGTTGTGCTCTGCGCTCGCGTAGTTTAAAGATGACATTGCTAGAAGATGGGTTAAGAGCCACGATTAATGGTCGCAATGATTTAGCAATATCCATGCCAACCTCTCCAAATCGAAGAGCTGCAAAGGTAATAGCTGGAAAAAGGATATATCCGAAAACGAAGATAGCATAGAGGGGTACCCATTCGGGCACATATCCTTGAACTCTGTTCTTGTAAGTCCAATATGCGAGAATGATGGTATAAAAGTTGTACAAAATCGGTGCAAAAGCAAGGGCGACCAAGAGTTTCCATGTTGCCATAACATCCCGACCTTGAAGTTTGACCGTGGAAGCAGCTAAAGCTTCCTTCGACTTCTTGATGCTAATAATTTTTGAAGCTATGAAAACCGGTGCAAACAAGACAAGCCCTGGAATGACACCAATGGATAAGACAGCTAGTTTACCCAGGCGGTAAAATAAAAGGAATACGGCTTTTGGAACAGAAAATTTGGCATATTCGACTTGATGATCCTTAAGATTCATATAACGTAGTTGTCTGTTGTAATCCAAAACGGATTTCTTGAGTGAAACAATCCTTGGATCATCCTTGTAATGCGTATAACCCTTAACCAGTCTTCGATTCAACTCGACTACCATAGGAAGTGGAAGCTTCTTGCCAGTTGGGTTATAGAGTCTTCGAGCGGCTTGGATAAGCATGAGGGTATCGTAGTCAGGACTGGTAACAGTAACAGCAACAAGGGCTTGGTATACAATATCCAATAGTTGACTGACTGCCCCTCTTCGGTCTCCACTTTTGTAGAGCTCAACAAGCTCTTTTGGAACTTCGATAGGATTACCAAACTCAATCACGGCCCTTGAGCGAAACTTATGGGCATGGAAATAATTCATGCCGCATGGTACAATTTGAAGACCGCTATCGGGATTGGCAGCCAAGGATCCAAGAGCCATAATAGCCACACCAGCTTTCAAAGGAAGCAATTCGGTCCTGTCGTGACTTCCACCCTCTGGGAAAATGCCAACAGCTCCACCACCCTTGAGACGATCAAAGACGGCATCATAAACTTGCGTTTGATCAACTTTCGGGGCAGTCTTATATTTTGATCCTTCAAACCCTTCCTTGGTACCCTTGACAGACTGATCACCAAACTTGCCATTTTCGTCAACATCGGTTCGTCCAGTGAGCTGTACCATAGCATTTCGACCTTTGAAAGGTTTCTTCAATCTCAATTCCTCTGCGCTAATTACTTCCGCTATTTCGGTATTGGCTGCGGTCCCATCCATTGTAGGCAGAACCAGTAATCCTCCAACTTGTACTTCCTTGCCGTCGAATTTTGTACCAACACCACGAATGAGGAGCGGATCATTGATAGGGTCTGGCAGGTATATTGTACCAGATCCAGGCTTTACCATATCCAGAGCTCGTCCGACAGGAACCGCACCCACTTTTCGTGCGAACCAACCCACGATGAATCGACCCATAGATTTGGCGGCGATAAGAAAAGCGGCGCGACGATGGCATTCATTTCGGAGGGTGCGCATTAGAATAAGAGGGTCGACGAACTATATGAATGGGTTAATTCGAGCGCTTCAAACCTGCAAAAGTCATCTGTCGCATACCTGATTTGCATGAGGGGCTGCTACAAAGATAACAGGCCCGCGCCTTGGAACTTTCCATGCTCCTCTTGGGTGAACTTCTCGAAAGAAGAGGTCAACGAGTATTGAAAAAGTCCATAGGAATACATCATATATCCAATTTGTCATAGGAAATTGTTCCTTGTGCTTGGCCGTTCGAGGCATATGTTCGTGAACCTGCTGCTCGTTGGCCATGATGGCGGAATGTAGATCAGAATGCCCAGTGCAGAGAAATAAACACGTTCTTAAAAAGTGCGGGGTGCGAGGTCCGAGTTATTTATTTCGTATATCTGTTAAACAAGATCGGATTTTAGTCTTGATTGTTCAACCGCAGCTCAATGATTTCATTCGGGTATCAGAGCACCAGACACGGCGATTTTCGGGATTGATTAGGGTTTCCTCAGGTATTTGTTTTTGTAGGCCTAGTGAGTCGTAAAAATCCAAAAGTCATATCGGCCGAAAGAAAGAAAACGGATCGAATATTTCAAATTCAGTAATATTTATGAAATGGAAAGAAGCAATGAAGCGACGGCGGGTAATAATGGAATGATTTTCTTGATTTAGTAAAACTACATTTTTGCATTTTTTTACGGAACCGGATTAAATTCCATACCCGTTCGTAAGCGATAAGCGCTGCAGCTCCAGCTCACTCTTCGATGGAAAATCCCCGTTGACAATCCCATTGACAAATAAAATGTTATTACGAGTATGGAGGATATCAAGTGCCATGATGATATTCCATTAGCGTAAACCCCATGGTTCTCTCTTGAATTATATGATATTCCCATGCATGCGATTTCTCTTCCGATTTTGATGGACTGCTTAACAAATAACTATGACTACCTACTACTGCAGTACAAAGACTTTCAACGCTCATTATCATATCTAAAATCACGTGCGAGGTTGGGGAGACATGCAAGAGGATGCACGAAGTCTATCAGCGGCGTTTTCAAAATCCAACCATAGGTATACCTACCTGAGTAAACTCCAACCTACTAAGGATTTCAATCAATTGTTGGAATGTAAATAATAATGAAGGCGTGTCACTTTCTTCCAAATATATTCCTCCGATTGTGGATTACATTCGATTTTAGCCCTTTCTACCTTGTGTTTGTGGAACGAAGCGCTTAGGATGGATAGGATGATTTAGTCGATTTATTTTGATGAGGGAGCAACAGCCATGTACAAGTTGCTCCCATAATTGTAATCCTCTTCACCCTCGACATTTTTTATATACACCAATTAACCACGAAAGATCAATAAAATGGGATTACCACCATGGGAGACAAGTGAAAGTCAGACTTTTGCTTTGATAACAGGCGCAAACAGGTACTACCATCCCCAAGCTGGGGTCATTATTGACAATGAGCTTTAAGATTCTCGATGTTGATTATTGACAACTCTCTAGCGGTCTAGGTTTTGCCGTTGCTTCCAGATTAATCGATGAATTCCTGACTTCATCCGATACTCCTCCTACTAAACATTTAATTCTTATCCTTTGCACACGTACACCGCTGAAGACACGATTCACAATCTCTCGCTTGCGTGCCCATCTACGAAAACTGGTCGACTACTCTAAATTCGCAGATTCACAACGAGCGAGAGCTAAGTCTCAGGGAAATGTATATAGATGGCAGGACATGGTTGCTCGAGTCCATTTTCTTGGGGTTGAAGTCGACTTGTGTGACTTGAAAAGTGTATATGCCCTTACCGATAGGCTTATCAATGGAACTATTGGTAGCCCAGATGCTACAACAATGGATGGTCTCCGATTACCCGAAGGCTCTCCTGGTACCTCCACTTATTCCGCAGATGTTAAACAAGATAGATGGGCATTGAGCCAGAAGGAAGGGTCTGATGGCGAGCAAAGATCTTGGGGGTGGGGATTGAGCGGAATTAGGATACCAAGGTTGGATGTCGTAGTCTTGAACGCAGGGATAGGAGGATGGTCAGGAATCGATTGGCCAAAGGCTATATGGACTGTCTTGACAGATATGACGGAAGCTGTAACATGGCCAACTTACAAGCTTGCGGAAGTTGGAGCTATAACCAAACCTCAACTATCCTCTGCCTCTCCAAAACAAGCCAAACCCTCGGATGATGAAGCTACGCAGCCTTTAATCAACGGCGAAACTCCAGAAGAGCCACTTCTCGGGGCAACATTTTGTTCTAACGTTTTTGGACATTATATTCTCGCACACGAATTGATGCCTTTACTATCACGAACATCTTCTCCTTCGGCCACTACCAGCGGAAGAATAATATGGGTATCTAGTATCGAGGCACAAGCACAACATTTTGATGAAGATGACCTACAAGGTTTGGAAAGCCACAAGCCATACGAAAGCTCCAAGCGTCTTACAGATGTTCTCGTCCTTTCAAGAAAACTACGAGCAGCAGGCAAAGCCTCCTCTTCATGGTTCGATTGTTCCGACGTTCACGTGGAGGACCCTCAATCGGAGGGAGAACCGCCAGCGAAATTGATAAAACCTAAAATGTACGTGGTTCAACCTGGAATTTTCGTTTCGGAAATCCTGCCATTGAATTTCTTGTTGGTATTTATCTACAGATGGATCTTCTACCTTGTAAGATGGATGGGAAGCCAATGGCATACCATTGAACCTTACACTGCTGCTGTAGCACCGGTCTGGGTAGCATTATCTCCCGACGATGTTCTAGATAACATGGATGGGACAGCTTCGAAATGGGGATCGGCTACAGATGCAAGTGGGAAGGAACGTGTTATACGAACCGAAGTTCCTGGTTGGGGATGGGAAGGCAAAACTCCAAAGACGATTGATACTGGGGAGAGAAGAAAAGGGAGACAAAGAGATGCGGTACCATTGACAAGGGAAGCGAGAGAAGATTTTGAGGTCTTGGGTGTTAAGTGTTGGACGGAGATGGAGAATTTGAGGAAGGAATGGGAGGGACTTTTGAAAGTTAAGAAATGAGCGTGACGAAAATTATCGCTGCTTTCTGGAGAGATCGATAGAGGCTACAGTTAGCTGTATATCATGTACAATGTAATAAAAATGACTAATAAGCAATTTCCTGTTTAAGCCCTCTTATGTGTTTTTATTATCTCACTCTCTACAACAGCGAAAGAGACGTTAGAGATGAGATACACATACAGAGTATATAAAATACATAATTTCATGAGTTTGAACACCATGTTTCTATCAAGAATGTGAACATGATCAGAATACTGGTGATTTAATGTTGAAGTCGAATTATATTAAAGCAAATCTGGATTTCGTTGCATACCTCAATCTCTTATAGCATCATTGGGATTTAGCTTCAAGCTAGTTTAAGATACTAGCCTAAGGATGGGTCTAGAAAACCAGAAGAAGGTGATCGTTAGTTGGATATCGCATATGCTCGATGTCGTTATTATCCTTAGACTTGCGGTTAGATACGAATCTCGCTAGTGTCTAGTTGATAGTTGGAGTGTTACTGCTGGAGAACTTGGGTTGTATGTCTTGGTTTCATCTATCCGGTATGTCGTTTATAGTTCTCTACAGTTGGAATAAGGAGTAGGGGTGAGGAGGGGGGTTATTTCTTTTTCGATGTCTCTTCAGCGTCGCTTTTTCTCTCCTTTGGTTTAGTCCTAGGCGAGAGGCGAGAGGCGAAGATCAATGGGATTGGTTGAGTTGCTTGAACTCGCAGAGTGTCGTCGTTTTCAGGACTAAGGCCTGGTCGGTGAGTTCTGGTGGTTGGGAGGTACTATAGAGGGTTTGCTGCATGTTAGCAAATCTCTGTATATATCGTTTACATGTATCTCGGAATCGAAAATGAAAAAAAGAGAATGAGGGGGGGTTGTTGGGATTGTCAATACTCATTGCGTGGATTGTAAAGATATGAACATTACAGACAGTGAAGAGAGTCACGGAACGAATTTGTGGTTTTAAGGATAAGAAATTCAGGGTTCGAGGGAGAACGACGCTTGTACTGATTTCAAACTCACCGGTAGTCAGCAATCGGGAAAATGTACATAGAATTACTATGAGCACTGAGTTTTGTGGTATACAGATCTTCTTTGTTTGAATCATCAAATGGAATATTCGAAACTGCTCTGTATGGTGTAGAAAACGTAGCTAGCTACTCTGTTCAGTTCGAGGAGATCGTTTGGAATAGAGATGCTGGGTTTAGAGGGCTTGTGTTTTCATTGTCCCCTCGCTACAAAGATCTTGCGAGTGAGGCAGTAGTTGTGAGTATTTCAAGTATCTTGTTTTTAAGTGGGAGGGTTCTAAGAGAGCTTATGGTGTACCTATCCATTTTCTGACCCTTTTAGATCTCATATCGCGGGTTATGGATCAATGACAAGCCGATTTATGGACGGAATTGGGTCGTAACCAGAGCTCTCTGATGACTCTCATCTACATCTTCCTAGCAGATGTGTGTGTCTATGTGGCAAGTGAAAAGATATGATCAAGTCGTGCTTTTAAAGTTAATAGGCTTTTGCTTTTTTATACATGATGGTGCTAGTAGCAGGTACTAGTAGCAGCACACATCTACGCATTAGATGAAGCCATCTTGCATTGCAGTACACGCCATCAAGGGAAATTATCGATACGATAGTAAGGAATGTCAATATAGTGGCCTACGATCAAGTTGTCCACAGGATTGAGGCACCTTCAGCCGAATACATACGAATTCTCTAATTTCTCATCGCTTCGGTTCCTACTCTGCGACCCTTCAATAAGGGGTCTAAAGTTCTGGAAGTGATATCTATGTACCCAACTTTAAGTTTCTGCTCTCTTGATATCCAGTAAATTTTGAGCTTGCATTTTCTTCAATTTATCCAAGATGTCGAATCAAGCTTTTGATTGTCTATATTGATACTTTGCGTTGCGTCATCATTATTCTCTCAACTATACACCTAAGAAAATACTATCATCTGATACTAAAAAACAGTACATCCAAGTACTCTTCGTTTATCTATCAACCCAAAAAATGCATCATCACCCCCCACCCCCCTCATCAAACTACTTGCACTCACCCTATGCCATCCATCAAGATGCAATGGGGTCCACAAAGCCCGCATTCCCTTACGGTAACTTATCGTTCTCCCGTCTGATATGCATATGCACATTTCACGAGCAGTCAGAACGGCAGATGGCGCCTTATTTACCCCCCTTGCCTGCCCTGCATAGATAGACAGATATAATATATTTATATTCCGGACTTTCAGCCCCTAGGTACCACCCCCTTAGCGACAGAGTAAACTCAAATTTTGCACTGCGATGCTGCTTCAACGATGGTAACTTCTGGGGACAAACCTCAACGATAATTTAGCCATGTTTTGTGCGGAATTGTATACATATCACATGTATTATGTATCTCTCCGGCTTTAAACCATGGTTACCCTTCGCAATCCGTAGCTGAGCTGGATACATGCATTCTAGTACGCGGTAAGAAAAATAGATGAAGAGCTGAATGTGGTGGGTACATGAATTGAGCTATTTATATACATATCTGTGTAACCATTATTTTGCGACCATGTTATTAATAAGGTACCTAGCAAAAGCCATTTATCTCTTTTATGAAATGGATGACCTGGTTGAATGCGTGGATGTGGTTTATATGGATGTGTATTTACGTGATTATGTAACATTGTGATTGGAAGAAGGTCTCGGGGAAGATACTAGGTATAGCAGGGTGGAATGTTTAATTGTATGCACGAAATGTGATGTGACTATACTTACACTATTCTAAAGTTTGAATACTACAACCCCCCCGCAAATTTTCCAGTCATTGTAGTCGGCGAAATCTCAACACTTCGCTTCATTGATGTAATATCACATCAGATAAACTCCGGAGTATACGAACTCTCCACAAAAACCAATCAGTCTCAAACTCCGGCGCACCACTCTAGAAGTTCCAAACTATCAAGAAACGGGACGGAAGGCAGAAATGTTGCATATGTACTATATACACCATGTAGCATATGCATATAAGATCTAGGCATACAACTCCACGTATACATATCTGATCGCCGATATATCTTTCATTGAGAATAGATATGAGTTGGCGTATTCAGCGAAGATCTCCCATACGGATGTGGATGTGGATGTTGATGGTGAAAGCTAGAAAGGGCTCGAGATGCATGTACACTGGACAAGTTTACAACCCTATACTACGCCCGATGGAGGGAATACGCGGGATGTTGGAACGGATAAATAGTACGGTGGGTGGCTGGATGTGGCTGGATGTGGCGCAGAGAGCAGTTTGATGTTGCTGTTCTTGTTGTCGTTAGTGATGATGTATAACGTGAGGTGGTGGTAGAACTAAAAGTAGACCTGAAGCCCAGGAAAGGATGCGTTGAGGAAGAGAGCGGAGCGAGACGGACGAGTAGGTCGGATGAGCAGGTCGTACGATATGGAGGTTAGTAGGGGGGTGAATTGATGGGCCAGAATCTGGAACGTGCGGAGCTTCTAGACAGACATAGATGGCATGTCGTAAGTGCTAAGATATCTTAAGTTTATGGTTATAGTTGGGGCCTTGTTCTAGACCTGGATAGAATATATTATTATAGTTTTTTAGGGTCAAATGGTGAGGAACTTGAAGGAAGCGTGCTAGTTGGAAATGACTGTTTGCTTGGGCAATGAGGTCATATGACACCGAGTCCCGACTTCCTACGGATTGTGATGTGATAAATACGGTTATAACTGTTGGTGAAAGTGATGATTTCTGAGGATACGTTAGTTGTGGAATGGGGTGAGGGAACTGGCACCAATTGTAATGGGAATTAAAAGTGTCTGATCTAGATTGGCAAATTTTTTTAGATAACAAAGAATGCAAAGTTTTGGTACATTGAGACAATTAGGGGCACATTTGTCTAGACCAACCTATAGAACTGATTTTGTCTCTTTTCTCACTCATCAGGCCAGACGCCAGATGAAACCATTGCGAATATGATACTTTGATATAGTAGCTTTCGCATGTAGCATGATAGAACAGACGAGAAACGCAAACTCGTGGCGAGATGGTCAGTCAGTGGATTTTGGCATGCATTTTCAATTACTCTATGTTAAAAATCATGTTCCCTTACAATGCAGCTTATTCCTTGTCCCTAGGCGGCATTTCCGGATCTTATTACTTGATACGATTCACGATAAATAGCACGTAGGAAAAAGTGCGGGGAAAATTCAACGGCCACAAAATGCTCCACTGGTACCAGAAAACTTACTTTGATGATGTGTATTCGGAATCACCGTCGCCATCTTTCTATCTTTCGCTTGAAATTTTACGTAGAAATAAGCTACATGTGTAATGAGCGAATACAAATAAAGATGATCGTCACTGTGTAAAATCCCTTTGCACCACTGTGCCACTTCCTTCACATGTCATGAGGCTACTGTTGTAGAGAAGGATGCTCTCACGATATGAATAAGCAGATCAACCCCCTGAAGGAAGTGGCTGAACAAATCTGGGGAAGGAACTAACCAACATGCCAACAATGATCATATCACAAAGGGTTTGGACCCCGTGACGATGTGACATCTGCGTGCCAGCCGCTTACGTGCGGAGAGAAGATGTAAGAACTTTACTGTTAGCGAAATTAATTGTCCGAGGTTTTGAGATTGGATACTTAGAAATAGACCGTGTGGGGGCGATGGAACAAGTAGCCGTCTAGTAATGATACTGTAGGAGCCGATCGTGCAATGAATTAATGGCCTGAATACTATGCAGAGCTAGATAAGAAATGGATGCAGCTGGAGGATGGGGAGAAGAGATCAATATTGTTTGCAGTTTTCCTTCTCGCTTGCTATGTAAATACCCCGATATGTAGCATTAAATTGAATTTAAGACAACTGCCTATCATGCTGCTATCAAGTGAACTTAATTCAAAAACATCGTAAAGGAAAATCTCACAAATGTTACCCTTGAAACCGGAACCCTCGTGACCACACTCTTTTGTTTCTAGCCCTGGCATCATGTCTGACTGAGA